CTTACTCCCATAATGTTTGGGTCTGCCCTAATCATAATGGCCAAAGGCTCTAAAACTATTGTGAATAATAACGGGGACAATGGGCATCCCTGACGAGTGCCCCTTGAAATAGTAAAAAATGGGGAAGTCATGCCATTTGTCATCACTGCTGCTCTAGGATTTTCATATAATAAACTAACCCATGTCCTAAAAATATGACCAAACCCGAAATTCGACAGTACTGTGGTCAATAAGCCCCACTCCACCCTGTCGAAAGCCTTTTCGGCATCTAGAGATATAGCTGTGATCGGGGTGTTCTCTGAAGCGTTTAGCCACATCAGGTGAATTAGCCTTCTCACATTATTGACTGCCCCCTACTGGGGAATGACATAGACCGTGATGTAAATTTTTTCAAGTTAAACAAACAGCAGTTGAACATTTCAACTACAAAAACTACCTTCTGTAACACCCTGTTGCTTAACGAAAAGCAATTAACCCCTCCCACGAACTTAACAACAGAAAAAACAAGAACAGTAAACAACAAAAAATCAACGGTCATACCAAACATTGAGGACCGTCTACGTTCAAACACCCCGAGATTGCGGTCCGTGAAGTGCCGAATCAGCTATCCAGCCTGGTCTCTGGCTGTCAAAACTGTTCTGAGACAGCACAGGTATTCGACGACTCCTCCCACCCAATGCACCTGACCCATCAACTCCACTCGGCGATTTTGCAACAAACATTTGGTCCCTTTATCCTGGTGCCCCGCAATGTTCTTTAATGAACTGCTCTGCACCCGCACTCGATGTAAACACCATATTCTTCCCTTGCCATGTGAAACGGAGTGAGGCTGGATATGACAGTGTGTATTTGACATTGACACTTCTCAGTATCCTCCTGGTGACGCAGTGAATTCCCTTCGTCTTCTGGCCAGCTCTCTTGACATGTCGGGGAAGAAGGAAATCCTACATCCATCCCATTCGATCATTCCTTTTTCTCTGGCTGCTTGTAGTACTTTCTCCCAGGCTGACGAACGCAGAAACTTAATCAGAACTATTCTTGGTGGTCGATCAGCATCGGGCCTAGGAGTGAAAGCGCGATGCGCCCTCTCAATGTCAAACTCTCCATCCGGATCAATTCCCAGTCCCTCCGATAGGATTTTATACACGCACTTGATCATTCCACCTGCCTCCAGCCCCTCTTTCAGACCGATCATCCTCACGTTGTTGCGGCGGCTCCTGTTTTCTAAATCCTCAATTCGATTCCACATAACTTCCAGGCGTTTATCGTGCCGTTCGCCATCACCAACGAGCTTCGAGGTGACATCTTCCATGTTGGAGATGCGGCCCTCCGCTTCGTCCAGCCTTTCTTGGATTGCGTTCACCGAGTTTTTGAGATCGGTGACAACCTCTTTGATTGAGGACACATCTGTCGCCACCCCTTGTAAGGTAGAGTTCATTTTACTTATTTTGGATAATAAGTTTTCCATCTTTG